TAATAATATTTTATTATTAATTGATTTTTAAAATATTTTTATTAAAAAATATATTAAAATAATTATTTTTATTTTTTAATTTATTTTTAATATCAATACATAATAAACAATAAATTTATTATATCCTAAATTTTGTATCGTTGCATTATGTAATCTATATGAGGAGAAAAGAGCGAGAACTAGGAAATCAAAAAAGAGCAAGAACTAGGAAATCAGAAGTGTACCTCATCGGGACATAACAATGACGTGTTTGCAGTTTTAGCTAAATATCTGTATAAGACCTGACAACATTGAAATTCTGGTGAGACATCATTCAATTTATTTTCAAAAATTCAAGTTATGAAAATAAATATCTAATATTAATAATTTATTTCATAGTTTTTATTTGACACAAAGGCATTAATATTGACCAGACCCATTAATAGTTTGAGGATGATACATTGTTAGACAATTTTGGTGGAGTGCCTTTCTACCAAAAAAAATAATAATCTTTATTTGATTACATAATAACACATATGTATATATTTATAAATAATTTAATGTATATAGTTATAATTTTATCAATATATATCAAACATATTTTGTATAGTCTTGTATTTTCTAATATTAATTTTGTGAGAAACTCGTAAGTATTTAATTTTTTATGGACAATTTACTAAACATTTATCAATGTATTTCAAATTTTTTTTCCAAGATCTCTCTCTAATAATAAAAAAATAAAATCCAATTACTCTTAGGAAAATATTATTGCCGCACTTGACAAACCATTCATGCATTTTTGTAAAATAGAGACATGTGACGTGCAAAAGTAAAGAGACTATTCTGTTATATAATCTACTTGTGAAAAGGGACGGCAATAAAGAAAAACGGCATCGTACCTCGACGGGTCTTGACATTGACATGTCAATAATACCTTTTGCGTACTTTTCTACGGCCGCCTGATACTTTCGACTTTCATCCTTTTTAAGAAAGAATTGCAAAATTCAAGAAGTCAATTAATAAAAACAAATATATAATATTCATCATTTATTTCATAGTTTTCTTAGACACAAAGGCATCAATATTGACCACACTTATTAATGATTTGAGAATAATATATGGTAATGGTTTGAGCCATGATATTATAAGATAAAACTTTGATAGAGTGACTATTCAATAAAAAAAATTTGAGATTCTTCCTATTTATTTATTTTTGCATATTAAAAATATTTTTTTTGCTATATTAATATAAAAAACAAATTTAAAAATAATATTATTTTAATATATTTTTAAATAAAAATATTTTAAAAATAACTAATATCACATTAACAAAAAATATAATTTGTTTTTTTAATTAAGAGAAATTATTCATATAAAAATTAAAGAATTGATGTGAATTTTATTTCAGCTCTATTTGTTTTTATATTTTAAAAATTTAAATTTTATTTTATTTTTTTATTAACTTCAAATTAAGATATTTTTAGTATTTTTAAATTATTTTAATATATTAATATCAAAAATAATTTTTAAAAAATAAAAAAATTATTGATATATATATTTTAATATAAAAAACTATTTAAAAAATAACTATAATTATATTTTTAAACAAACCCAGACACTCAAACCAGGTCTGTGAAGGAGATATTACAACCTTTTAAAAATCATCCAACCATTTCAAGTGAAACAAAATGAAGAACAAGAAATGTAGTCCACATCCAGCAATGTACTTGAGAGAGATTTTTGGAATGCTTACCGTTGAAAAAAACTCCAATACACTAACTTCGTCACCGTCAAATCGCGTGAATTCATACTGTTCGCTCAAACCAAAATGTAGCATGAGAAGGAAGACATGAGTGAGTAACTCTCCACCTCTTCTCAGTTGATGAGTATGTTCTTTCCATGGGCAATGAGCTGCCGCATAGGCAAGCATTTCTATCCAAACTTCATTTATCATCTCCCATCGCTTCTTAGATTCCAATGACCGCAATTGCCTGGCTAGCTTTTCCCCACCGATTACCACTGACTTGCTATTTTCCAGAGACTTTGAAACGTTATATCATCAAGAGATAATTCGGAACGCAAAATCCCAGCAACAACACCCTTCTTCGCCTCATCGCCTCTTGTTTTTTGCGGATTTAGACGCTGCAAGTCTTGCAAAGTATCTAGATATCCCTCATCACCGATTCCTTTAGAGAGCATATTTGGTCTCATCACCAAAAGATACATCATGTATTCAGATAGATATCTGCTTGTTTCATATTCGTTGGAGACATTAATTGCATCTTTGTCAACAAGATAACAAATCTCTGTTGCGAGATGCCATACAAGAATGCTCCGACTGAATTCTACTTCAGTCGTGCACCACATGTAGTTCTGTAACAGTCCCTCTCTTTCTAGCACACCATCTCCCCTCTGACCAGTTATTTTACTTCTGCGATTCTTATCAATTAAACAAAAATCTTCCTTCGTATTCTCAGCTTTCTTTTGAAGATGTCTGAAAATAAAACGTTGTAGATCAACATTCATATCTACTCGCTGCACAAAAATCTGCCTCATCTTTTCACTGATTCCAAGCGATTTCAAACATCCAAGTGGCCTGTTTTCAATGGAAGAGCTTATCAGGTTATACTGTGCAATGGATCTCGACCACCTCTCGCTTCTAGTTAACTTCCTTATCAAAGAATAAAGAGCACCACTACTCAGGGCGTTCCCTCCTTCATCAGTCAACCAAATCATTGTCCAGTCAGAGAAAACAAGGCATAAAAAAGCATAAAACTCGAGAAAAACAGCGGCCGCAAACAATAAATACGTGATTGTAATGTCGATAGTTGAGTACGCATGCTTGTCAATCAGGATCTGGAAGGAAATAAGCGCAGTAAACGTGAGCAGAAAACTAATAGAGCGAAGAATGATTCCGGCACGAGAGTAAATCAGGGGCGCTTTAGTGTAAAGCATATCATATATTAATCCAAGCTCAATCTCTACCACCTTGAAGGCGTCTTCTGCTTGGAAATCAGTACTTGGCTTTTTATTAGTGCAGGAATGCCAGGGACAAGATCCTGCATCATAAACATGGATATACCCAAAAAAGTATAAGCTTGAAGAAGATATTTTCCCTCGAGAGCTTGATCACGTTTTTTTGTTAATGCCTTTAATGGATAAAAAGGCCGAAATTTTGAGAGAACAGACTTTTTCAAGCCCTCAGAGCTTGAAGACCAGAGCACCCAAGTCCTCTCTGCGTACTTTACAATGCCAACAACGAACATTGGAATCGCTATGAATGCGAGGATTTCCACAAATTTATGACTTCTTCAGGAAATTTTTTAAGCATTGTATCTTTTCCTCAACAGCGGAAACTAGTTCTCTCAATGACTCTGAAAAAATCTCTTAAAAGGGATAGTGAAATGATTCTTATGAGAAAAGAATTCTGCACTAGATTTTGGGTAATGTGTCATAAGAGTTGCTGCGTATTGTTGTTACAGCAAGCAGAGAAAAGGTATGGAATGCATTACAAATTAATATATGGAAGTGAGTTCTAGGATACATCTCCTTTAACTTAATGCTTGCTTGGCCAGCTTTTACAAACCATAGTTACATGCACAAGGAAGAATTTGGTACTTGGCTTGGGTACAAAGCAACGAAGAGATGCTAAATAGTAATAAAGAGATGCTGCTTGAATCAAGAGACTTTAAATTAGTTGCCTTTTCTCCTTTTCTTTCCCCAGCAGACAATAGACATAGCTTTCCGACACTTTAAAGAAGGAATTCTGAATATCAATACGATGTTAGAGCACTGGAATCCCCGGCCCAAGGTTTGAATATGAGACTACGTACCATTTACTGCTAATGAGTTTCTGCCTTGCATCAGTGGAATTTTGCATCTTAACCTATTCAACGATAGTCATCCTCCCAATGAATAAAAAATGAGTTTATCTTTTCATTCTCAAGAGATTCTAGCTAGATAGGCAAAGGCTTCGCTGCTTTGCACATTTTCAGCGGGCAAGTGAAAATATTCTTATGAGAAATTACTTCTGCAGTGGGTTGTAGTTGAGGTATCAAAAAAAAAAAAAAAAAAACCGCTGCTTAATGTTGTTACAAGCAAAAAGAAGGTATGGGTTGCAACGCCATAAAACAAAGAAGAGATGTGTGAGTAAAAATCTTAAAATTAGGTTGCTTTGATGCAGAGCAAGCAAGAGATGCTAAATATTAAAGAGATATTCAGCTTGCAAGGAATAAAAGATTTACATTAATTTTATTTTTATTTTCTCGGTGGACAGAGTTTGGTTTCCTTTTCTTGAACACTTGAAGGGGAATTGGGGTTGGGCACAAAACAAAGAAGATGTGCTAAATAATAAAGAATGCAGATTGCAAGGACCAAGAAACTTTAAATTAATTGCATTTACTTTTCTTCATACACAGTGTTCACATTCTATTTTAGAGAAGGAATGCGATGATGAGTCGTATCTTTTGACTTCATTTCTGGGAATATGATGTTTGAGCACTGAACTCCCGAAAGGTTTGAATCTGTAGCTCACATTTACCCTTGGATTGGTGTGCTATCAATACTGCAACCTCAAAACAGAGAAAATGTACCTGATGATGTGGAAGACTACTGTCGAACCTCAATGCAACTAATGGCAATTCAAACCAGAAAACTAATGCAGGATATGAAGCCCCTGATACATGAACAATGGAATCTGGTTCAATCATCAATAGTATTTCGTAAAAACAATTTCAAAACTATTCAACTCAACAGGCACATTGAAATTTTTTCAAGAACCCACCCGGTGAGGTGTAGGACTCCATCAATACTGGCTTGTATAACTCGGAATCCTTTGCCTGTACCATGTTAGAAATGCAAGGAGCTTCATGCCTGTTATAGCAGCAATGCAAGGACAATTGTACCAAATCAACAATTAAAATGAGAGTGATGAGCATTGTAAAGGTGGCTTGATAGACACATCAAATGTCATGGAAACTTAATTGCATGAATACGATGAAGTACTCTTTGACATTGAAACAAGAATCATAGTTATATATTTATCTACTGTATATCTATCCAGATGTATAGCAGATCAGAAACAAGGCAGCTTACCTTGTCCAGTTGAATGAACGGATTGACATGTGAAGCATCAGAGGAGGCTGGCTTTTCTTACCTTAATGGATTGTCATATAAAGCTCTGCTTCTTGGCACCTCTCCTGTCTAGAGCCTCTCATCTTGGACCTGATACTTTTTCCAGGAAAAACCTGTGTGTGAGATGAGAGCTGCTTGAGATGCAGCCATTCGAAAGAAAGGTTAAAAAAGAAGAAGAAAGTGCTTGAAAACATTGAGCAAGTTTGTGCGTAGCATGACTGCTCTGGGCAGCCGGAAAATTAGAAATTAATTTTTTAAATATTTTAATATATTATTATCAAAAATAAATTTTAAAAATAAAAAAATATTATTTTAATATAGTAAAAAACATTTTAAAAAACTATAAAAAATATAATTAATTATTTTTAGAAACTATATGTTATTGTTCTCATCATTTTTTTGATCGATAGCTCATGATGGCTTGAGAGCATGAAACACAGCGTTCAACGCCTCTCAAGATTATTTTTTCAGGGGAAAAAAAAACACCTTCATTCTAAAAGAAAAATCCCTTCTCTTCCCCTCATCTTTCGTTGTCAATCACCCTGAAAAAAGAAGCACAGCCAACATAATTCTGAAGCCTTGGCACCACGACCAGCATTAAAACCCACCAAAAATAGTGGCAATAAGAGGTGCAGATGGAGGAAGATAGTGAACAACCACTGCTGTTACCCACATCAGATCACCGTCATGAAGTCGTCCTTCATCAGTGATCGATTAAATGCGATTTGGTTTGATCAAATTTGGGTTTTTTTATTTATTTATCGAAGGTTCTTGAAATGGGTTTACAGTGGATAAGTGGATTTGAAGGAATCTGGATAGGGAGAGGGAGTATTTAAAGATTGTTTTAGGATACATGGATGATATTATTTTAGGATACATGGATGATATTAAAAACACTGCCATCACTCTAGTGTTATTGAAATTAGAATCACAAGATTAAATTTATAAAAAACTCAAGTCAAAACGAGCCTTCAAACCCAGACACAGCGGGATACCCAGTTCACCACATTCCTTCTCAAGAAATTCTAAGCTAAACTGGCCCGAAAAAGAAATCTCATGTTTAGAAGCAATTATGATATTAATAAATTAGTGTTTTGATTCTTCAATCGATAAACACAAATGTTTTGCACATGTTTTTTGTAAGTACGGATACAACATAGCACACTCATTTCAAGACCAAACTCATCTTACTATTTGATAGAGATTGAATAGTCCCTTCATCATCTGTCTGTGCATGCTGGTGAACCTCCTTAAAGAGCACGAATCCCCTGCTATGGAGTTGATGCAACTAGAAAAGGCCTCAACTGCTCAAGCTCTCGCTATTTACGCTTAAGATCTTCGTCTTTATATGCTACCATCCTTTTCAGTTCTTTCACCTCCTTCAAAATAGAAATTAGGTAATTTGACTAATTTCCTAATGAACAATGTATTTTATTTAAGGAATAATACAGACCAAGCTAAAAACTACATAGATCTTTATTAAAAGTCTCACTCCAGTAAAAATAAATATATAGGATTGAAAATTAATTTCAATGAATGTGAAGGCAAGTATAAAATTTAGAAGGAATCGTGGACGTAAGAGGTAGACCTCTATTGCCATGCCCAAGAGGGTTGCATCTCGTGATGATTTTATGGTTTAAAATCAAACAATTTTATATAATAAAAGATTAAAATAAAAAAATTAATTTAAAATAAATAAATAACAATAAAAAACTCAAAGTCGATATAAAAATAAAATTAAAATTAAATCAAAATCTAAAAAAATAAAATCGAAATCAAAATAAAATACATAAAAATTTAAAATTAAAAATAAAATAAAAATAAAAATAAAATACATAACAATGAAAAAATTAAAATTAAAAATTATATAATTAACAAATAAAAAGATATTTTTTTAAATTTTTATAATTTTTAAAAAGTATTTTCACCTTAAAATAAAAAGATATTTTACTAAAAACCAAACTAAAATTTTCTTTTAACTATGAATTATTTTTCAAAGGAACTTTTCTAGCAATAAACATAAAAAAAATTGGATTCTGTAGCCATAGAATCCAAACAGTATAAAGGCAGTGACCATATAAATAATCGGCTTTGCACTGTTCCATTCGACACTTTACTTGAGGAAAAGGATAGCGAGAAAGGAAATTGGCATCATACCTCACTGGAACTTGACTGTGACAAGTCTGCATTACCTCTTAGATATCTATCAATGGCCCCACGATATTCTTCTTCCTCCTTTATATTTTTTGTTTGCGGTGAAACATCATTCAGATTGTTGTCAAGAGTTGAAGTAGTCATCAGTTAACATAATCAAATATCTAATATTGATCAATGTATGTACTTGAGAAGGATTTTGGTGGACTTACCCATGGCAATACCAGATCATGACCACGTATGTAATCATTTAATGAACTGTAGTCTTTGAATGAATTGTATTCATATTGTTCGCTCAAACCAAGATGTAGCATGAGAAAGCAGACATGGGTGAGCAACTCTCCACCTCTTCTCAGTTGTTGAGCGTGTTCCTTCCACGGACAGTGAGCTGCTGCATAAGCAAGCATTTCCATCCAAACTTCTTCGATTATCTCCCATCGCTTCTTAAATCCCAGCAAACGCAATTGCTTGGCGAGCCTATCCCCACCAGCTACCGCTGACTTGGTTTCTTTCCAGCGAAATTGAAACCGTATATCATCAATAACAAATGATTCATAGTAGAACAGAATTGCATCTACAACTTCTTCCCTGCTTGTCGCCGGGCTTTTAGTGGGAGCTTCCTCCTTACTTATGATGCTATCCAAGTCTTGCAAGGAATGTAGATATCCCTCATCACCGATTCCTTTAGATAGCGTATCTGGTCTCATCACCAAAAGATACATCATGTATTCAGATAGGCATCTGCTTGTTTCGTACTCTGAGGGGACATTGTTTGCATCTTTATCAACACAGTAACAAATCTCTGTTGCGAGCATAAAAAAGCATAAAACTCGAGAAAAATAGCGGCCACAAACAATAAATACGTAATTGTAAAGTCGATCGTTGGGTAGGCATGTTTCTCAATCTTGACTTGGAACGTAATAAACGCAGTGAAAGTGAGCAGAAAGCTGATAGAGCGAAGAATGATTCCGGCATGAGAGTAAATCAGGGGCGCTTTAGTATAAAGCATATCATATATTAATCCAAGCTCAACCTCTATCACCTTGAAGGCACCGCCAGCGGAATATTTGGACATAAGCATCTGGCTGAGCATTAGATCCATGAGGCTAGGGACAAGATCCTGCATCATAGACCTGGATATATAAGAAAAAATATAAGCTTGACGAAGATAGTTTCCCTGCAGAGCTTGTAGACCAAGTTCTTTTATTCTCTTCAGATGATAAGAACGCCAAAAATCAAAGAGATTAGAGCTTTTCAAACTCTTGGAGCATGAAGACCAGAGCACCCAAGTCCTCTCTGCGTACTTTACAATGCCAACAATAAACATTGGAATCGCTATGAATGCGAGGATACCGCTAGGCCAAGACCTTGAGAAGACATAGAAAGCCACTCCGACTTGGACTACAAGACCAAGTAAGTGCCTTAACCACAACTCGTTATCTTCAATCGAGTATGCAGTGATTGTGTCCGGGCCGCCAAGGTGCAGGAGTAGAAAAGGTGCCCAAAATGCCTGGATGGAATTGTTTGCTTTCTCTTTACCTGATAAATCTCCTTGGCTCCTGGCTAGATTACCCAGGGCAACAGTTGCCACCATGTCTGCTGATAAGTATGCAGACCAAACGAGAATCCTGATCCAGTTTCTGGCAATGATCTTACGTCGAGAACCAAATACGATGAGGATGGTTTGTAGTAAGAGACTAAGCAAAACCATTCCTCGAATCTCCCAATTGTTCCACAAATTTAAGACTTCTTCAGGCAATTGCTTAAGCATTGTATCTTTTCCTCAGCAGTGGAAACTAGTTTCACTCGATGAACCCCAGGAGAAACTGTTTTGTAAGATGAAAAGTAAGTATGGATATATCTGAAAAAAATCTCTTAAAAGGGATAGTGAAATGATTCTTACGAGAAAAGAATTCTGCACTAGATTTTGGGTAATGTGTCATAAAAAAGGAGTTGCAGCATATTGTTGTTACAGCAAGCAGAGAAAAGGTATGGAATGCATTACAAATTAATATAAGGAAGTGAGTTCTAGGATACATCTCCTTTAACTTAATGCTTGCTTGGCCAACTTTTACAAACCATAGTTACATGCACAAGGAAGAATTTGGTACTTGGCTTGGGTACAAAGCAACGAAGAGATGCTAAATAGAAATAAAGAGATGCTGCTTGAATCAAGAGACTTTAAATTAGTTGCCTTTTCTCCTTTTCTTTCCCCAGCAGACAATAGACATAGCTTTCCGACACTTTAAAGAAGGAATTCTGAATATCAATACGATGTTAGAGCACTGGAATCCCCGGCCCAAGGTTTGAATATGAGACTAGTAATTACATGATTAAATTTTTTTTTTTTTAAAGGTGAGAGTGTAATAAATAACTCGGCAAATTATATAAAAATTAATTATATAAATTATAAATAATAATAATATAATAATAATAATAGTAATACTACTACTAATAATAATAATAATAATATTTATATTAATAATAGTAATAACAATAATAATACTAATAATAGTAGTAGTAATAGTAGTAGTAGTAATAGTAGTAATAATAATAACAAAGAAGAAGAAGAAAAAGTTGAGAACTTTGAGATGGAAGATCAATGTAAGGATTAAACAATGATAACAACAAATATCAAGGTTAGATGATCCACTAATGGTATTTCAAACAAGTATAGTATAAACTTTTATTATTTAATTGGAAACCACACACAAAAAAGGTTCTAATCAGATTATAAATTATTAACATGATTACATTAGTTACCTTATTCGAATAATGCTAATACTTGTAAATATTGTCAGGTATATATGATTATAATTTATATTAACAACAAATCAAGTTTCTTTCATAGCACAAATATCGGTTATACCATACGGTTTGTGCTATGAAAGTGCCAAGTATTTATTGTACCAAATGGTATACAATATAAATCTAGATTAACCATTTTACAAGCAAAGCATTAAACGTGAATAAGATAACAAATATATATAAAACATGTTAGTATCAAATATTAAGGTCCATATTGAGTTTACACTATACTTATTCTTATACCATTAGTGTAACTTTTTCACCTTAATATAATTAACTTAACTAAACATAATGAAATAAAAAAAATAAAAAAAAATAAGAACATAAATAAGTTAAAAGTTAACTAGGTAAAGGAAAGGAAATGAAAGATATAAACTTGATATTAATGAAAGCAAAACATAAGCAATATAAAGAGAGAAAGTAAGAATATGATCTTGATATGAAAACCAAGATGCCTAAATGCATGGCAAATGACTCCTTTTATAGGGAAAAATTGAAAACTATTGATTTGATGACTAATTGATGAGTGGGTGACCAATTCTTGACTTGGTGACAATCATCATCTTCTCTTCTCTACCCAAAATATTATTGATAACGTTAGAATTTGAACCAGATCTCTACATGAAAGTTCTGGGAAATTATCTCAGCTTTCCAAAAAAATAGAGGTATTTGGACTTCTAGAACTTTAGATATGGGCTGAATATTGAATAGTATTTGGGCTGCAGGATAGATTTAAACTTCTTTGTTGTTGCTACAATTTGGACTTGAAAATGATATTTTTAAAACCAAACCTCTATATGAAAGTTATAGGCCTATGTCTTATCTTTCCATTGATATAAAGTAGACTAAATCCAAGATCTACAGTTCCAGATATGACCAATTACCGAATAGTATTCCAGTTTGGACTACACCAACATCTCTTTTCTAAGTTTGGCCATCTCTTTGTCCTTTCAATTTCAGTACTTAAACTTATCAATTAATCTTTTTATTTATGTGATAGACTTGCATTTAAGATGAATATTTATCACAAATTAAAAGTATCTTATATTATTATATATGTTATTATAAAACATGCTTTAGTTGAGTTATTGATATTCAAGTGCAAAATGATGATATAAAACTTTGATAAAAATGCACTTTTAAGTACTAATTACACCCCCCCAAGCAGCTTATTGCTAGTCCCTAGTAATTAAAAAGTTAATATATATTTTTTTTTTGCAAATTCCACAAAGCAAGGCATTCGTCATTCAACTTCCATTAATCTATCCAAATAAACAAACTATCATTAAATTTATATATCTGCTCACTACCTCTTAAACAAGATATTAATAAACCTTTTTTTTATACTCAATATATCAACATATAGTTATGAAGCTTTTCTTAGAAGGAAATAATTTTTTTATTCTAATATTTAACGTTAACTTTCATGAGTTGGAATTTTTTTTCTTTTTTTAATATATATGTATATAACTTAAAACACGATATATCTTTAACCCATATAATGAGCTTTCAGCTAATGATTCCTAGACCAGTTGGCCTTAGGGCATGAGACACCCCTACAAGCTACTAATGACTCCTAGACCAGTTGGCCTTAGGCAATGAGACACCCCTACGAGCTTAGTAACACTGTTTACAGATATTGATATATAGATAATGCAATGTTTGATTTCCTTAAGCTTTTCTCCTCAACCCATGTAACAAGAGTTGGGTCAATAGCTCCTAATTCAGTTGACTTTAGGATATTATGTGTTAAAACACCTCTTCAGGCTTAGTTGCTTAGGTTAGGGATGCTATGAAACTAAATTTATCTATATTATTATTATTATTATTATTATTATTATTACTTTGTTTTTTTTGTTTTTTTATAAATTATATACTATTCCCTTCCCTTAGTTGTTAAATTTAACAAAAGAACATAAATAATATAATAATTCAATATGCAACCCACAATCATATGTTAAAGTGAGTGTATGAAAATTAAGGTTTAAGAATAGATGTTAAATGAGTATATGAGCAGAATTAAGTAATAACAATGTGAGAGTTTGTAAACTTGAATATTTTAAGAAGTATTGTGATAAACCTTGTTAAGAATGGTTACTAACATGCATCTTAAGAGTCACTCTAACAAAAAAGCTTATTTACTCTTCCATCCTAGTAACAACAGTTTTGCACATGCTTTTGAAATAGAAACACAGTTAGTTAGTTTTTTTTAACTACTACCCTCCCCCCCAACCAAAACGAGACATTGTTCTCAAAATTCTAAGGTAAAAAGATAGAGAATAGAAGACATCATTTGAAATAATGAATACTGACAAACCTAAAACACACTTAAATAAATATAAGAAATAATAAAACACAATAATAAAACCAAAAAACATCAAGATTCATAAATGAAGGCTGAAATCCAATCTAAGCTTTTTACGGCTTTTCTTAGTTGACCAATTTATACGACTCATAGAGGGATCAATTACAGGAATGAAAGATTGTAGTTGTCAATCAATTATTCAGTAGCAGCAGCAAAGATTATGATTTGTCATACAGAAGATGCTAGAAATTCTTGTTCCATATCATGATATAAAAAAAAACAACTTATCATAATAACCATTAATATTTAACAAACTTATAGATTTATAGTGAATGTGCAGTTGGGCTATATGTAGGCCAACTGAAGTCTCACACACTCTCTCTCTCTCTCTCTCTCTCTTTATTTATTTATTTATTTAAAAATAAGTGTATATATAGGTAGTTGTGATTGTGGCTCATATCTTCTTTTAGTTTTATGTCAAAGAATGGTTGAAACGTCCTCTATGGGTTGAGGATAGGCTTCCTATCTAGTTTTCTTAAAAACTAGCAAATATGGTCTTTTTTAGTTAGATTCTCAAGACTATGTCAAATATGTTTTTTTATGGAAATGGGGTCATAAATTATAAGATGCACAATGCACATGTCCATCAGGATATGTGTCAAAAGTCAACAAAAGATTATCTAAAGATTCCTTATGTTTTGAAATAAATCTTGACTTTTGACAATTTTCACAAGCTTTGTAGAATGCATGTGAGTCCTTGAACATGATGGGCCAATAAAATCCATTTTGAAATATTATTTTAGCTGTCTTTTTTGACAAGAAATAACTCCCACATGCTTTATAATGACAAGATTTAATGACATTACTTACCTCACTATCGGGAATGAATCTTTAAAATATTTGATCAGGACAATATTTGAATAAATAAGGGTCATCCCAATAAAAGTTTTGCACGTTGCTCAAAAACTTTTTTTTTTATCTTGAGTATTCCAATGAGCTGACAAATCTCCTAAAGTAAGAAAATTATTATTTTTATCATACCAAGGCATTGGACTAAGTAAGGATTCATTAGGAAAGTAATTATCAATTAGTGTAATGTTGGATATCGAATCTGTTGTTACTCTTAAAAAACGTTCCGCTTCAATATTTTCGATGCCTTTTTCATCCGTGATTTCTTCCTAAGAGTAAATCATTTGCAAATCTTCAGATTCATCCAACTCAATTTTACTCAAAATAGATTCAAGTTGTTTATAAACTAATTTTTCAATATGATCTACTTTTTGTAAATCATTATCATTTTCAGGTTGCTTGCAAATGTTAAAAATATTCATCTTCATTGTCATGTTTCCAAATGATAGCTTCATGAGTCCATTCTTATAATTAATCAATGCGTTAGAAGTTGCAAGAAATGGATATCCTAAAATAATAGGAAATGAGTTACATGCTTCAACAGGTTGTGTGTCCAAGATAATAAAATTCACAAGATAAATAAATTTATCAACTTGTACTAACATATCTTCAACTATTTCTTTAGGCACTTTTATAGATCTATTGCAAGTAAAAGAGTTACAGAACTTGGTTTTAACTCACCTAGATTGAGACTTTAAAAAACTGAATATGGAAGTAAATTCACATTAGCTCTAGGATCAAGTAAGGTTCATTCAATTTTATGTTCTCCAATAAA